CCAATTGTTTTGTTATAGGCCCAGTTGGCGCGTCAGGTCATTCTGATTCTCATTCTCCTTCTGCGTAAAACACACACACACACACTGAACCCAACCCAACGGAATGTTTTCTCTGCCTTTAATGTTCGTCCATCTAATGCAAACAAAAGACAAATGGTATAAATTCATCCCCACACCGCTCTAGGAGTAGAAAGAAAGTTTAATATATGGACATGCTTCAATAATCGAACAACTTTTTGGTACTTAGAGACTGCAAATTATATCTTAAACATGTAATTAAGAGTATAACTAACTCATATGTGAAACTTTAATTTTACAAAAATAGATGAGGACATCTAATAACTTATAATACTTACAGTGACTTTCTTTTTTATATTAGTAGTCTTGTTTATGTCCATACATTGATTATAATTGTAATTTCTAGTTGTAAATGACTCTTTTTATTTAATTATTTATATTTATTATGGGTATATTTCAAATTTGTTATTAGTGGTATTACACATGCTTCTAATTTTTGTTAGACTATAGTGCCTTAAGATAAAGATTCAATTGTAATCTCTTTTTTTTTTTTTTAATATAATATCTATTTTTTATATAAAAAAGAGAGAGCATAAGTAACTCTACCATCAAACTAAATCATATGATTGATAATAAACTTTTTTTTAATAGTGGGTATTAATTCAACAAAACTTTGTCATAGCACTTTATATTTGACATAGAGTGCTTGGGTTTAATTTGTCCACCTGTCCCAGAACTCAATATGAAATCAATTCTCAGTTGCTTTCTAAAAATAGTAGCACTATTCATTAGGTGTTTAGAACTAATAATTAAAGTTAATTACTTAACTAATTTAGTAGTAATGTCTTTTCGTTAAAAATAAAAAATTTTGAATTTGAGTTGTATGGTATGCAAATGATGAGAGTAAACGATAAGAGATAGTTGTCTTCTGTTATACCAAAAAAAAAAAAACAAAAAAAAAAAACAACCTAATAGCTAAACCGTTTTGATTCCATGGGGAGAAGCGGACACTGAAAAGGGGTGCATATGTATGAAATAATGGAGTTATTGTGGGTGACCCGCGTCCGCTATCCATCAAAATTAATCAATCACAAGTCACAACATGAAAGAAAATATATGGCGAAGATCTTTCATTTTCAATGGATACGAAAATCATGAAAGAACTTTTCCACGCCAAGGTCGGTAAGAGAAATTGGGAATGGAGAAAGTATATAACTTCTCTATGTAATTCTTAGTTGGATGTAGTACGTGCTACTATTTTTTAATTAAATCATAAGAATGTGATACATTAGAGAGATAATCAATTAGGAATGATTATTTCTAGCTTACCTCAATTTGCTTTAATTAATAAGAGTTTTAGGCGTTTCTTCTTAGTACAAAATATTAATTGACTAAGAAAATTGATGAAAGTAACATATAATCGTTCACTTCTTCCATCTCGTATTGTCATTTACAAATTATGTTATACAAAGAAATAATTGGAAGGACGGCATGGGTTCAAGTTTCATGGATTCTGTCAAAAAGGTCAAGAATAATGACATCTAAAGATTTGGGAAGGATCACTTGTGCATAATTGGATGTCAATAATAGAGATATTTTTTTAAAAATTAGTTAGGGGTTATTTCAATCATATTTCAATATAATTCAAATCCCTCTCTGCTTTCCCTGCCTGCCCAAACAACCACATACAAATCCATCACGACATGCCAAATCAATTAACAAACTAGACGGCGTGGCATCTTGGGAATTGAAACACGTTAATTAGCATATATCTAATTAGAATCAAATCCCCATCACTTTTCCGTTACTTCGTGTGGTTCATCTTAATTTGATGGTGAGACTACACCAAATTCCTTTGTTTTCTTACAAATTTTGACTTCTCCCTTCCCCTATTTTGTTGCTTCATTAATGCATGTATGCATGGAAGGATTGACAACTAGAATAGTAGTGTTCATTTGTTCAAAAACACTCATCAAAACCACAATGATTAATTATGGTGACTATCCTTTTCCCTTGAACATATTCTCCACTAAAAAGCAAATTTTAAAGGTGGGGATGACCTAATACAGTTCATGATTTTTTAAACATGAAACTAAACTTTCTCTAAGTTTATATTTATATGTATTTAGGAAAATGACAGGGAAAGGAAACGTGTGGGACTCCATCTTCCATTGCCATGCATCAAGCTAGGCATAGGCAGCTCACTAATGGAGGAATATTGACACAAGTGAGAAGTGAAAAATGATAAATTTGGAATTTGAAGAAGAGTAGACAATTATCTAAGTAAAAGCATGATGGGTTTGGACTTTAGAAGAGTAGACAATAACTTAAGTGGACCGAAAAGCTTGACTACTCCTGAAGTGCATGCCACACCTATGATAGCTATATGCAATATGTATGTACCGTCATAAAATTGTGGGTTTTCTTCTAGAAAACGTGCTCGAGATTATTGAGTACGTGGAAAGGAAGAATGATGCCATCTGCCATAAATATTAATTGGCAGAACAAGACGGATAACAAACCAAAATTATGTACATGAAGAAACGTTGATTTAAACATATTATTGTAATAAATATTGATACGAAAGAATTAAAACTTAGAACTTATCAATTCGCAGAGCCGACCGTATATATTCCGGTGATTATTTTTGACCTGCAATGAAATGTCCCCGTGATTCTTTTAGCAGTTCCCAAGTCGCTTTCTTTAATAGTCAGATCCAATAGTTTTGGCTGTTCTCGAAGACCAAAGTCGTTCTCATTATGACATTACATGTTTGGTAATTGCCGAAAGGTCTATTCTCTTTGTACTTAATTTTAATTTTAATTAACAAATTATAGTATGTGACAGGGTAGCTTTAGGCTATATAGTTATCCTTAAAATACACTAATCAACTCAATTAATTAATGGGGTTTATATATATGTTTAGTGTGTCGGGAGTAAATAATTAAAAATAAGATGTTTCTCTCATCTTCTAATTGTTTTTCATATTGGTTGAACTGTAAGGTTCTTGGAATCTTCTGGGGCTTCTTTACAATACTTTTTACCGACTGTGTGTCCCCAACCCATTAACACTTTCTAAAAGGAACTGTCGGTCTTTGAAAACACCCCGCAGCCACCATGCACCACTACACACAGCTGGTGGCCTCCCGGCCCCTTGCCAGCTTCCCTACGTATATAAAGTTGAGAATTTAATTTCAGCTGGAAGCATTATATCATCATATAGAATTAAGATGGATTAGGCGTACAATAACATACTATATAGTAACATATATTGTCATTAATGATTTAAGTAACATAATAATAATCTTTTATATTATTTTAAGTATTAAAAAAGTTTAGTAAATTTTTTAATAAAAATAAAAAATAGTAAATTTAAATTATATAATATATATAAATAAAATTAAAAATCAAAAATCTCTTTTTATTGTTAGTAATTATTTTTATATAAAAAAATTTGTATATTACTCACACTCTCATCTTTAATTAATTTTGAACAGTCAATTTTCAATAATAAAATTACATGTGAAATGAAGTAATGAATTATTGTCATGCACGAATTTCTTTGTTGTGGTCCAGTGATGTCACTGCAGTCTAAAAAGACTATCAGTGAAATGCACCATGATCAATGATTTAACCTTACTAAAAAGTAAAATATTAATTTCTAAATTTAACTCTTAATCGTTACCCTTATTTTAAAAAAAAATCATTATCATGCACAAAATGACAAAGTGGAAACAAATAATAATTGAGTTAAATTATGGATTTTATTAATTCCTTGAGCTCTAAAATGTTACTAATGAGTTAATATAATAAGGTAATAAAAGTCAGTTTATTGGGAGCAGAACCCTTGCAGGGTAGGGTATACCCTGTTATAGTTGCCATTGTTGCAGCACTCTCTAGGACTACAAACTTGGAGTAAACCTACACATACAAGCTTATGTCAAAATCCAACTCGAATGCACAGAACACTATGAATGTGCTGG